AGAGCAGCCATGAGCAGAGAGAGAGCAGCCATGAGCAGAGAGAGCAGCCATGAGCAGAGAGAGAGCAGCCATGAGCAGAGAGAGCAGCCATGAGCAGAGAGAGCAGCCATGAGCAGAGAGAGAGCAGCCATGAGCAGAGCAGAGAGCAGCCATGAGCAGAGAGAGCAGCCATGAGCAGAGATAGCAGCCATGAGCAGAGAGAGAGCAGCCATGAGCAGAGAGAGCAGCCATGAGCAGAGAGAGAGCAGCCATGATCAGAGCAGAGAGCAGCCATGAGCAGAGAGAGCAGCCATGAGCAGAGAGAGAGCAGCCATGAGCAGAGAGAGCAGCCATGAGCAGAGAGAGAGCAGCCATGAGCAGAGAGAGCAGCCATGAGCAGAGAGAGAGCAGCCATGAGCAGAGCAGAGAGCAGCCATGAGCAGAGAGAGAGCAGCCATGAGCAGAGAGAGCAGCCATGAGCAGAAAGAGCAGCCATGAGCAGAGAGAGCAGCCATGAGCAGAGAGAGCAGCCATGAGCAGAGAGAGCAGCCATGAGCAGAGAGAGAGCAGCCATGAGCAGAGAGAGCCGCCATGAGCAGAGAGAGAGCAGCCATGAGCAGAGCAGAGAGCAGCCATGAGCAGAGAGAGCAGCCATGAGCAGAGAGAGAGCAGCCATGAGCAGAGAGAGCAGCCATGAGCAGAGAGAGAGCAGCCATGAGCAGAGCAGAGCAGCCATGAGCAGAGAGAGAGCAGCCATGAGCAGAGAGAGAGCAGCCATGAGCAGAGAGAGCAGCCATGAGCAGAGAGAGAGCAGCCATGAGCAGAGAGAGCAGCCATGAGCAGAGAGAGAGCAGCCATGAGCAGAGAGAGCAGCCATGAGCAGAGCAGAGAGCAGCCATGAGCAGAGAGAGAGCAGCCATGAGCAGAGCAGAGAGCAGCCATGAGCAGAGAGAGCAGCCATGAGCAGAGAGAGAGCAGCCATGAGCAGAGAGAGCAGCCATGAGCAGAGAGAGAGCAGCCATGAGCAGAGAGAGCAGCCATGAGCAGAGAGAGAGCAGCCATGAGCAGAGAGAGCAGCCATGAGCAGAGCAGAGAGCAGCCATGAGCAGAGAGAGAGCAGCCATGAGCAGAGCAGAGAGCAGCCATGAGCAGAGAGAGAGCAGCCATGAGCAGAGCAGAGAGAGCAGCCATGAGCAGAGCAGAGAGCAGCCATGAGCAGAGAGAGCAGCCATGAGCAGAGAGAGAGCAGCCATGAGCAGAGAGAGCAGCCATGAGCAGAGAGAGCAGCCATGAGCAGAGAGAGCAGCCATGAGCAGAGAGAGCAGCCATGAGCAGAGAGAGAGCAGCCATGAGCAGAGAGAGCAGCCATGAGCAGAGAGAGCAGCCATGAGCAGAGAGAGAGCAGCCATGAGCAGAGAGAGCAGCCATGAGCAGAGAGAGAGCAGCCATGAGCAGAGAGAGAGCAGCCATGAGCAGAGAGAGAGCAGCCATGAGCAGAGAGAGCAGCCATGAGCAGAGCAGAGAGAGCAGCCATGAGCAGAGAGAGCAGCCATGAGCAGAGAGGAGCAGCCATGAGCAGAGAGAGAGCAGCCATGAGCAGAGAGAGAGCAGCCATGAGCAGAGAGAGAGCAGCCATGAGCAGAGAGAGAGCAGCCATGAGCAGAGAGAGAGCAGCCATGAGCAGAGAGAGCAGCCATGAGCAGAGAGAGCAGCCATGAGCAGAGAGAGCAGCCATGAGCAGAGAGAGCAGCCATGAGCAGAGAGAGCAGCCATGAGCAGAGAGAGAGCAGCCATGAGCAGAGCAGAGAGAGCAGCCATGAGCAGAGAGAGCAGCCATGAGCAGAGAGAGAGCAGCCATGAGCAGAGAGAGCAGCCATGAGCAGAGAGAGCAGCCATGAGCAGAGAGAGCAGCCATGAGCAGAGAGAGAGCAGCCATGAGCAGAGAGAGCAGCCATGAGCAGAGAGAGAGCAGCCATGAGCAGAGAGAGCAGCCATGAGCAGAGAGAGAGCAGCCATGAGCAGAGAGAGAGCAGCCATGAGCAGAGCAGAGAGAGCAGCCATGAGCAGAGAGCAGCCATGAGCAGAGAGAGCAGCCATGAGCAGAGAGAGAGCAGCCATGAGCAGAGAGAGAGCAGCCATGAGCAGAGAAGAGAGCAGCCATGAGCAGAGAGAGCAGCCATGAGCAGAGAGAGAGCAGCCATGAGCAGAGCAGAGAGAGCAGCCATGAGCAGAGAGAGCAGCCATGAGCAGAGAGAGCAGCCATGAGCAGAGAGGAGCAGCCATGAGCAGAGAGCAGCCATGAGCAGAGCAGAGAGCAGCCATGAGCAGAGCAGAGAGCAGCCATGAGCAGAGAGAGCAGCCATGAGCAGAGAGAGCAGCCATGAGCAGTCTCGGGAAGGCGCCCTCCCCCCCCCCCCCCACATGCCTGTCACCCCAGTGAAGTGGCCTCAGCTGGAGAAGCAGAAAGAGACTCCAAGGTCCTCAGAAATGGCAACATTAAAGTCTCCGCCAGGTTCAGAGGACATGGAACAGATCAGCACCCCATGGCCGAAAACTTCCTGTTCTCTCTGTGAATTCTTTTCTCCAAATTCTCGTGTCCCAGGAGCCAGAACACTCACTCAGTGGTCTGGAGGCAGAGACCGTTGAGGTAGAGAAAGAGGCAGGAGAAACTTCCCAGCCTTGGCCCTCCCATGACAGCCTGAAGTGGACCTGGCAAAGATTTATTTGATTCTATGTTGCATTGAGGCTTTTGAAAATTATGTGACTCACCATTTTAATTAGTGTGTGTGTTTGTGTGTGTTTTAAGTGCTCAGGGCTTAATTATCCACATGTGAGCAAAGAAGTCATCATGGGATCTGGTGGAGAGGCAAAGAAAATCTCCCCACTCAAGATGTTAACTATGAAACATACAGCAGTCTACTCTGCTTATGATAAGTTACTGGAAATGCCTCATTTCTGTTTGCTTGTTTCTATATCGGTTGATTTATTTGTTTACTTTGAAACAAGGTCTTGCGTCATAGCCCAGGCTGGCTTTGAACTTGTGATCTTCCTACCCAAGATTGTAATGACAAAAATGTGCGACTCTTCCCAGATGAATTTTCTCTGAGTGCTTATTGATTAATATTTTTTCCAAATACTGTAGAAATCAAATTTAAGCACCATACCCTCTAATAAGTAAGTTTAAACTTTTCACAGCATCAGTTATTAAGTTAAATATGCATTGGAGTGTTCCTTTAGAACTCAGTTTTGTCTGTAGTTTCTGAAATTCCAGTTCTCTGTATCTATCGAGATGATGGAGTAACAGAGCAGCACATTTTCATCTCTATTCTTTCCGTTCATCATCTTTTCATAACATGTGTCACTATTTCCACAACGCTTGCTTAATTTCTGTAGCCATAGTTGTGTGAAAGTTATACAAATAGAGATTAGAAGTCCAGTAAGTCCAATTAAGAGCCTAAATGTGTGAGACATAAATGGCAGTAGATAGTCAGTGATTAAATTACCTCAGTTAACTTGGAAGTCCATGTAAGAAGAGAACTTTGAACTCTGGATCAGACTAAATGCATTATATAATATTTAATACTGTAAGAATGCCACCATGAATCATTTCATTTTTTAAAAATCATGACCACTTTCTAGGCATTCAATTGTGGTTAAGACATACAAGGAAGAACAGAACAAGCATTTTCATTCATGGAACTCTCATCTCAAGAGAATCTGCACTAATTTGTTATCTATATAAATCTCTCCTTATGAAAAATTTACAACTTATGGGACACTGTATGTGCTTACACTTTCTAAATTTTCTCTCTTAGTGGCCAAGTACTACTTGAAATTTGTCACTAGAGGGTTATTCTTTGGCTTATTGCTTCTTACTGATGATGGACACTTACTGAGAACTTGTTACAGAACAATTTGTTGTGAGCATTAAGTCGCTTCATCTTTTTCAAAGCTCTTTGGCATAAATGCTGTGATGAATCCCATTTTGTGGATGAGGAAACTGAGGCCTAGAAAGTGAATATGTGCTTAAGACCATGCTGCCTGGCTGTTTACCATTGGCAAAAGCACCCATGCAACTGTAGAATAAAATGGGAAAATAAGACAATTACATTAGCAACAACAAGAAATGGGAATGAGCTGATTTAATAGAAAAATGTCCATATCACATGGGATTTTTAAAAGCCTACTTAATTTAGGATTAAATTGTTAGAATGCTTAAGGACTTTAGCCTTTGCACTTCCCAAACCTCAATCCTCTGTGACAAAGAACTAAGAATAGGAGCCTTGAAAACCTCAAATGATTTGGGTAAGTATAAATGTTACCACTTGAATGAAGATGTTGGGGAATTGAAAGTACTCTACCTAGGTTGTTATTTATGCTCTTTGTTCATTTGTATCTATGGTCACTATTTTTCTTGCTACTTCACTTAAATAAGTTCTGATAATTCTATTATTAAGTATCTTTGTCTTAGAACTAGGGAAAAGACATTAAAAAAAAGTTAACAGTGCAAGTAGGAGTTTGTTGTGGGACAGATGCCGGGGGTTAGACGGGCAGAAGCCTTCCGTGCTCCCTGTGCTGTGTAATGTCCAAATCTGTAGCTGAAAAAATTTGAGATTAGAAATTCCATGGGAATCCGGAGGCAGACAAGACAGAAGACAAAAATCACCACCGCCAGGTGGAGCGGAGCGAGAGGACAGAGCAGCCACACGGCAGGAGGCCACGCGTGCATCACGGGCAGCTGGGATCCCTTCGGAAGCAGCATTTGTGAGCTAGACCGGCCCTGGCTGTCTGGCAATGGTGGGCAGTGCACCTCTCTTAGAGGAAGAATTCCACGTCGTAACTGCTCTTCTCAGCCCACCCCATGTGGGAGGATGGCCCTCATTTGAAGTCTCTTCGAGGATTTTATTTGACTCTGTTATGGTTCTAAGGCTGACGGGCTGGGGGACTATGTGTGAGAATGTTGTGAACATGTCTTCCTCCTGAATTCCTGTAACTGGGATCTCTTGTGTGTTGCTTCACAGGAATCCACTGTGAAGGAGACGTGGACGAGTGTTCATCGAGCCCCTGTCAGAACGGCGGCAGGTGCGAGGCCTTGCCGGGGGGCTACACGTGCCACTGTCCAGTTGCTAACGGTTCTTGGCCGTCTTTCGGGGGAGAGGACTGCGCGCAGGCCCTCCCGGGCTGCGCTGGCGGCCCGTGTCTCAATGCCGGGCTGTGCATCCCGCACCTCCGGCATGGCCAGCACGGGTTCACCTGCCAGTGTCCAGCGGGCCACGCGGGGGCTGTGTGTGACACGGTCACCACGCTTTCCTTCAATGGCAGCGGCTTCCTGGGGGTGCCAGGAAGCCCAGGTAACACCACTGGCTCTGCCTGCCACCTGTCCTTCGGGTTTCAGACCGTCCAGCCGGACGCCCTGCTGCTGTTCCGAGGCCTCGGAGACACGTCTGTGACGCTGCAGCTGCTCCGTGGGCACATTCACCTAGCCATCCACGGCCACCGCCGGTCAGAGGCACACCTCTCCCTTCCCCACAACACCAGTGATGGAGAATGGCATTCGGTGCAGGTGATGTTCGGGGAGACGGTGACCCTGGCCCTAATCGATGACATCTGTAAGGAGAAATGCACTGTCGGGGCTCCCCTGGAAAGCAATCACTCAATGTGTGCTCCCCAGAACTCTTTTTTGGGTGGGTTACCGACTGGAACAGCCCACCATGGCGTCTCTCTCCTGAACGTCTCTGATGGACCGTCCATGCCTCCGTTGGTTGGCTGTCTCCAAGACATTCTGTTTGACGGGAATCACATTACCCTGGAGAACACTGCCCCTGGCTGGTCATTAAACATCCAGACGGGCTGCCTGAGAAAGGACTGGTGTGCAGGGCAAACCTGTCAAAGCAGAGGACGCTGCATGAACCTGTGGCTGAGTTACCGGTGTGAGTGCGACAGGCCTTACGCAGGACCTGACTGTCGGAGCGGTGAGAGAGGGCTGGGCACCAGCACACAGAAGGGGGCGGGCAGGAACGGAAGCTGCGATTGCTGCTGGGAAACCCACAGCCTCCTAATGAGAAAACAAAGGTGCACTGGTGTGTGGTCATTTCCAGGGCATCTGCAGGAGGTTAGAGCGCAAGCCACGCAGCGGGTCCGGAGGGATGAGCAGAGAGCTTCAGTCCATGGGTTTTCCACCTGTGTTAATAAAGTACACTTAGAATTTTACCAGGTGCTGTATATCAGAAACTTATTATAAAACCAGGTGCTGATGGCTCACACCTGTAATTCTAACTACTCAAGAGGCTGAGATCTGATCACAGTTCAAAACAACTCAGACAGAAAAGTCCATGAGAGTCTTATCTCCAACCAACCACCCAAAAGCCAGAAGTGGGAATGTGGTTCAAGTGGTAGAGCACCAACTTTGAGCAAGAAAGCCAAGAGCATGAAATCCTAAATTCAAGTCCCGGAGCAGAGGGGGGCAGGGCGGAGGGCAGGGAAGAGAGGGGAGGAACAGAGGGAGGGAATAAGGGATAGTGAGAGACAATATCATAAATCTTAGTTGAGGAAAGTCTCTTCGGTAGGGAGAAAAGAACTTTTGGGGACAAAATGTCCAATGCCACATAATAGCACAAAATACTCTGTGGTTAGTAAATTCTCAGCAAGCTTTCCTACCCTCTTTTCTATGCAGTTCATACCTGCTTCAAAAATCATGTCTATGTTTAGGACATTAGCAAACTATGAATTTGGCTCAAAAGGTAACTTTTACAAGATGGTCTTGAAGAACACAGATAGATGGCTTAACTCAATTTTAAAAACAAAGGAAGAAAGAAAATGCGACCAGTACAAACAGCAAAAGTTGCTAGAGGTCATAATTAACGTGATCTTGTTTCTCTAGCAAATCATGAAATATATTTCAAAATCCTTCATTTCCTACACCATTCCAAAGATTGCTGTTGATAGTGATCAATACATACCTGTGTCTTTTCATTATAACCATCAGGCTTCAAAAAAATGTCTGAGCGGTGTTTGTATCAGTCTGCTTTGAAGTTTGGCTATAATTTACTCCAAGTCAATTGTCTCCTCTGCTTTATAGGACATAAAATTAAAACCAGTCTGAGCGCATACCCTACTCTGCATTCAAATGGCTGAGAATTATTAGAAACTATTCACGCTCCCCCCTTGACTACAATATTCATTACAAGCCACGGTCCTGTGTGACCATGAGGGACGGCATTTCCCGCTCTGAGTAAGAGTTTAAGTAGAGTGGCAAGTTGTCTTGTCATTATTTCTCAAGGAGAAAAAAGGGGGAAATTATGCCCAGGCTTATGGTTCACTTTTTGAAGAAAAAAATTTAATTGACCCAAGGCAATATTTTTACGACATCTACAAAATAACAAACAGATGCCGACTGGTTTGGACTGGCCTCCAGATGCAGTGAATGGAGCTCCTGCTGACCTTGGTGGACAGGGGTGGGGGAGGGAGGAGGGGAAGGTAAGGGGAAGGGAGGAGGGGAGGGGGGAAGGGAAGAGGAGGCTTGGTGTAGGGATTCAAGAGAGGTCAGTCCAGTGGGTTCTGGTTTTATTTTTTTCCCATCTAGGGAAATCATGAAATGTTTTTAACCATGTCCCCGAATTGGCTGCACCCCTTCTAGTTAGTCCCCCCCCCCAGCCCAGTTTCTTTAAACCCTCTCACTGTTCTCACTGAGAACATTTGTGTCACAATATTACGCATCGGGAGGGAGTCTTGTAAGATCATGTCTTTCCTAAAAAATGACTTGGATGGGTTTAAGGAGAACTGTTTGTCATGTCTCTCCTTAGTCGTAGAGCTCAAATGTTCCGTCCTGGCTGTTATCTCTAAGGAATGTTCTCTGGGTGTTTATTCATTTGTAAGTGATATTCAACTGTAGTAATGAGAACTTGGAGTCTCTCCGTCCTTAGACGTGTATCATCCCCACAAGGGAGATGAACTAAAGAAGCACACACTTCACCCAAATCATGGGGAGCACTCACACGTGGTTCCCTAATACGGCACCTATGGAACGCAACAGCGGATTAAAGGGGTGCTCTAACTGACTGACTGAATGCAAAAGTTGATATTCTCAAAATGGTCTCATCCAGAGTGTTCTGAGCAAGGTTTCCCTGAGCTGAGCCTGCACGGCTGTGGGTAAAGTGGTCTCTCCCTGTGTCCTGGTACTGTTTTGTAAGAACGCGGAGCTGGCTGGTGCTTTAGCATGTGTGCATCAGCATGGGTGCATCGTCTCCCCAAGGTGCACGGGTTTTATCTTCATCCTAGACTTGAGAACCAGACTTCTCAAGAATTCTCTAATGACTCCCCTTAGAATTTGAGTTTCTTGGGCATAGAACTTGGGCATAGAATTCAAGTTTCTGGGGCTTGAACTCAGGGTCTGGGCACTGCCCCTGAGTTTATTTTGCTCAAGGCTTGCTAGCACTCTACCCCTTGAGCCACAGCTCCACATCCAGCTTTTTTGGTACTTAATTGGAGATGAGTGTTTTCCTACCCTGGCTGACTATGAACCATGATCCTCAGATCACAGCCTCCTGAGTAGCTAGGATTACAGGCATGAATCAAGGCACTCGGCTGTGGTTGGACTTTTTTTCTTTTTTGATAGCATCATGCCTGCCACATATAGTGGCTCAAACCTCTGCTTGAGGAATGGGCAGCTCGTGTCTTCCATTTTGACTCAAGTTCCCAAACAATTCTTTCCCTATATCTATGAGAAACTAGATCTGCTCAAAGCTTTCATGTGCCAACTACACTGTAATTCTTGAAGATACATTGTATAAGCTTAACATCACTTCTTGGGTCAATTTAAACTAAACCATGCTCCACACTTGATTAATTGGAGATAAGAGACTCACAGACGTTAATGCCCAGGCTGGCTTCGAACCTCAATCTTCACATCTCAGACTTCTGAGTAGCTAGGGTCACGGGCATAAGCCACCAGTGCCTAGCTTGACTTGCCTTTCATCTATTCACATCAAACCTCACCTTGTATCAATCGCTGAAGCTTGCCAAACTTACTTCTTTTTCCTGCTTCTTCTGTACCTGTTATCCATCTTCAGGGCACGTTACTAGCATGTATGAAAACCAGACCTCCATGTGCATAGTCAAGTCAGTCATACGTGACTTTGTGTGTTCCTAAGATCATGTAGCACTTTGTACCCTGGTACTACCCGCTTGTGATTTCTGAAGAATAGGACTTGCTTCTGGGGTGGTGGGGGTGGGGAGGACCAGATCTGAGGTCTGGCTTTGAATCCAGATCCACAAAGTGAGGCTTCGGGAGATGTAGCTGACCGGCAGGGACCCACCCAACCCCTCAGGATGAGCAATGGAGGGAGCGTGTACAGCCTCAGAACTCAAAGGCTTCAAGAGCCAGGATTTCTTATTAAGTATTTTATCCCCTGTAAAAGTGCCACCGTGTATTCTGAGATGTTAACCTCTTCAAAGAGGCTATTTTATCTAACAGTACACTTTGAAATTTACCTGTAGTTGCCTGGAGCAGGCGGTCTCCAAAAACAGATTCAAAAGCGCAGCATTCCTATAGGAAATCGTGTCAGAGTTTTGAAAAATGTCGCCTTTATTCAGGAAGTCTTCAAACACAGGGAGCTCTGCATAAACCAACGTGTGTCTTACTTCCAGCCTCATTTTTACTGGACCATACCACGACCTCTAAACATGTTGGGTTGTGCTCTTTTTTTTTTTTCTGGCTAAGACCAGGATGTAACAAACATGAAGACAGCAGTATCTTCATGACAGTGTTCTGGTCAAGGTCCATGGTGATTTCTAGATCACAAAATGCAGTGGGCAATTTCTAGTTCTCCACTGACTTTAGCTCTCCGTGAGAGCGCGGTCCAACCTTTCATGCTCCTGTGAGCTCTTTCCTCCTGAGGTGGCTGGCCATTTTCCCTGGGCTCTTCTTTTATCCTACTGGGTGTACTCAGTTTTTTCCTTTCCCTCTATCTAGTGACTGGCTCAGTTCTTGCACTTCTATATAGATAGACAGACAGACAGACAGATAGATAAAATAAAACCATTAGAAATATTTACTCTTTAGCCAGGTGGCTCATAGCTGTTATCCTAGCTACTCAGGAGGCTATGTAGTTATTTTTAGAATAAGTAAGCTTAGATGCTTAGAAAATGAGGCTGGATCACTGGATTTGTTATTTCTTGAGTAAGGCTGTCCTGAACTTGAAAAACAAAGTAGAATTTGTGTGTGTGTGTGTGTGTGTGTGTGTGTGTGTGTGTGTGTGTGTGTGGTTTTCGTCTCATACTCTTTCTTACTTTTGAGTGCTAACATAGTTTTTTTTTACTGGGTTTTTCCTCTCATTTTCACACTGAAGAGTATGTGGCAGGCAGATTTGGCCAGGAAGACACCACTGGGTACGCTGTCTTTCATGTTGATGAGAGTTATGGACAAAACTTCAGCATCTCCATGTTCATCCGCACACACCAAACGTCAGGCTTACTTCTAGCTTTGGAAAACAGCACTTTTCAATATGTCTGCCTCTGGTTGGAGCAGGGAAGACTAGCACTGCTGACTCCCGGATCTCCCAAATTGGTAGTAAAAGTTGTTCTGAGTGATGGAAATGTCCATTTTGTATCATTGACAATCACGCCAAATGGAATGGAACTGTATCAGTCTTCACAAAGCCTGGGATTTATTTCTGCTCCTACATGGACAGTCCAGAAAGGAGACGTGCTCTATGTCGGCGGCCTGCCTGACAGGCAGGAGACTGAAGTTCATGGAGGATTCTTCAAAGGTTGTATCCAGGATATAAGACTCAACAACCAAAAGCTGGAATTCTTCCCCAACTCAACAACTGATGTGTCCCGTCATCCGGCTCTTGTTAATGTGACCCAAGGCTGTCCTGGAGACAATGCCTGCAAGGTAGGGCTGTTTGTGTCTACTCGGTACACACCGTGGCCTCATATTTATTTTTTAAGGTAAGTAATTGATTAAAATCCTCTGTATATATGAAGACAGTGCTCCTGATCCATCTGTCACCCAATAGTGTTTTTCAGCAAGTCTAGGGTATTTACAGTAAGCCATAAAATATTGTCTTGTGTTATGGTGTGTCAAACAAGCAAATTAACTCATTTGGTGCCTCCCTCCCTTCACACCACAAACAGCAATAAAAATATCCAAGAGCGACGTTATTTTCATTTCTAAACCTTGAATGGCATTCTGGAGGTTTAGCTGAACTCTTCTTAGAAGATCATTAGCTTTTTAAACAAATCGATTTCTAGGGGCTGGGAAGATAGCTCAGTGGTAGAGTGCTTGCCTTGCATGCATAAGGCCCCGAGTTCAATTTCTCAGTACCACATAAGCAGAAAAAGCCAGAAGTGGCGCTGTGGCTCAGGTGGTAGAGCGCTAGTCTTGAGCTGAAGAGCTGAGGGACAGCGCCCAGAGTTCAGGCCCCATGACTGACCCCCAGCCCAAAAAATCGATTTCTAACTGTCTTAAGAACTTGTTACAAAGGAGTGTCCTCAGATCAGTTTATGAGTACAGTGCATTTTAGTCACTGTCACCTCTTCCATAACTAACTTGAACTTAAATGTTCAGCTATAGATTTTAAAATTTTATTCAGTCAACATGAAAATCATGAGTGAGAGGTTAGCTTCTTTTTGCTGGTTGGATTTGCAGTCCACTAAAATATAACTTCGCAGGGCCCATGTTTTCTTTTACCATTTTTTAAAAAATATTTTTATTGTAAAGATACTGTTCAGAGGGGCTACAGATACATAAATAAGGTACTGAGTGCATTTCCTATCGAGCATTGTTACCCCCCTCCTTTGTGAGCTGTTTTAAATATATGAAGTTGTTATCTCTGGGTGAGCTTTTGGAGGAAAAGAAGGAAATCATTTAATCTGTGTTGAATGTTTGTTGAGCTCCGATGGCCCTCTGCCAGGCTGAGCTCTAAACATCCACAAATGAATCCTTGTAGCTTTATCAAAGGAATACTTCCATTGGACTTTTCCATGCAGTTCTGCGGAAGGACTAATGTATGAAATGGGCATTTTTATCCCCGTATGCACTGTTAACCGAAGTTTCCAAAAGTCAGATAATTGGCTGGCTGTGTAGCTTTGTGGTTTGTTTAACATGTGCGTGTTTACCACACAGGAGGCCTTGTGTTCACACCTCAGAAAAGCAAACACAAGTAAATAAGTAATTAGAAAGACAGATAATAGAGGAAGACCTCAGCTTCCTTATCTGCAAAGACAGCACCAATAGTGCTGGCGTAAGCGTGCCTGGTCATTCACAATTTACTCAGGGCTTCACTGTCCTTTAAAAAACCCTCCTCATGTAAGAGTTGATTTTATTTCTTCTCTCCTATCCTGTCTCTCTCTGCTCCTTTCTGTTTCCTGATCCTCTCTCATCCCTTTCCTCCCTACTACTCTTTTGGAAAGTCACTAGCTATGATAATAGGTTTGTGCTACAGTATTAATAATGTATGTTTCACGTATTACCAGGTAAGGAAATTGGCATTTTAATGGGATACATAGATTGTGATATATAATATCGTAATATGTAGTTGTGTGTGTGTGTGTGTGTGCACTCACCTTTAATGTTTCCTGTGATGTCTTTTCCACCCAGTCTAACCCCTGCCGTCATGGAGGGGCCTGCTATTCCCTGTGGGATGATTTCTCCTGCTCCTGCCCCGCGCACACCGCCGGGAAGGCCTGTGAGGAAGTCCGCTGGTGTGAGCTCAGCCCCTGCCCTCCCAGCGCCCAGTGCCAGCCGGTGCCACAGGGATTTGAATGTCGGTGGTGCTCAAGTCCATCCGATGCATGTGGCACACGCTGCACTTGTCCCAATTGGAAACACAGGAACAGAATACAGGCAACACACCGAGAATACAGGAAACACGGAGAGAGAATACAGACACAGCCACCTCGCTAAAGACATGTGTGATTCCTCTGGGAGGAATTTAATAAACCTCCACGAATAGTGTTCTAGAGCAGCCAGCTTAGCCTCTCCCCTTATCGTGTCCTAGTAAGTGGAGTGCCAAACCGGAGAGATCATTGGTCATCTGAAGCCGATGTCTAAAGAATCACAGGCAGATGATTCTTGCCTTTCCTTCCTCATTCCTAGGAATACAGAATGAGTGTGTAGGGTTAGCACACTGCCATTTATTAGCATGAGTCTTAGGCAGTTCACAAGACGACCATTTCCTAAATTAGGTCCCCCACCCACAAAACAATAAGAAGAAAGCCCACTTGGCAGTTTTCCTTTGATGGGTGTGTGTCTACCTGCCCATCAGCAAATCCATCAGTACCCGGATGAGGCTGGTCTTGCCATTCCTCCCCCCCCCCCCCCCCCCCCCCCCGCATGACAGTTTCCTGCAACCTCTCCCTGAAAACATAGTTTCTGCAGTGCTAGGAATCTGCACGCTACATTCACAAGTTTGGATCCACATATTTACCACACTATCCTTTGTATCTTTAATCTCTCTTGAAAAAGATGCCCATCACTCTATATTAAATTTGAATTTGAATCCCTCTCCCCTTTATTCAGAGACTTGGCTTCTGAATATTTGGTTCCAATTTTTTTCTCCCAATCCAACACCACCTTTTTTTTCCATTAGCAAATTTGGTTGATATGAACTTATCAACTTCCTTTTTTCTCCCCTCTCACAGATTCTCTGTGCTGTTTAACTGTAATACTGAACACTGGTTGGGAAATTATGATGAGACTTACTTGCTTAGTAACATTGTAAAGTAGAAAATATCCATATTTCATTTGATAGAGGAGAAACTTTAGATACAGAGGAATGAAAGTGACATGATCAAGTTACATAACTGCACAGTAGTAACCGTAATGTATACCATCAAATCATTGTTAGCTAACCTACTTTGAGATTCACAAGTATCTTTCCTTACTATACGCAATGAATTCTCAACTACATTCTCCCCCTTCCTTCCTTCAATCCTCTACCCCTCTCCTCCTGGCCCTCCCCTCCTTCAGAGGATCGTCACCATTTCCTGGTGATGCTTTTGTTGGGCTTTGACCTAGTCTTTCTCCACGGAGTCTATCATACATCAGTTAATTCATTTGCAACCACTTGTATACCACCCCGTGTGTTTACTTGTAGATTTACGGGTCAACTTTCTTTTTTTTTTGCAAATTCTTTATTGTAATTAAGTGATTACATAATTTCACAAATTTCACAGTATTGTGGGATAATGAATGCTTAGTTAAAGTCACAAACACATTCTAACTTTCATGGGGCAAATTGTCTATCGTGGTGTATAAATTTTATTAGTTCTATGAGCTTTGACAATACAGTTATTTCTTCCACATCGGGTGATATGTATATTCAACTTTCTTATTATGAAAACTTTCCTTTGGCCTCTGTTCCTCTACTTCCTTACCTCCCATTTCTCTGCTTCCTTCTATAATGACAAAACTATCGCTCTAAAAGAATTGTTCCCAATAGGCTTCTGATATCTTATTGAAACCACTGAAATCCTACTTCCTCCAATCTCTTTTCCCCCATGAATCAGACACTACTACTGCTATCGTGAACTCCCACAAGCCGAAGCCAGAGCTTAGCAAATGCCCTGTGTCATTATACCTGGCTTAAGACCAACAACTGTCCTCCTAGCTATCCCTTGTAAATACACATCCTTTCCCATTCTGTGATGCTTTGTTCTACGCAAGTTCACTTATTTGTTTATCATCTCTTCCTCACAAGAATATAAGTTCCCAAGGCAAGAGATTTTTCCTATGGTTTCTCAAGTTACGGTTAGCCCTCAGAATAGTGTCAAACATAGAATGTGCTGTCAATGAGTATTTGTTAAGTGAGTAAATTGACTAACTCTTCATCAAACCTACTCCAGCCAGAGTTAGCTTTCACTTAACTGCTCTAAACCCTAAGTCCATCATCTACTTCCAACAAAAGAAATACATAAGATAACTTTTTAAAATACTTTAAATAACTTTTTAAAACAGTGGATTGAAACCAGATGAGAGAATGGCCTTGGGTCAGTACCAATATCCTGTTTAGACCAGGCCCATAGCGACTGAGGAGAGGAAAATATATTTACTTTCATGTTTCTATATTTTAAAATACATATTAAATGATCCTTATGAAATACAGTAAGCTATATAGACATTTGGGAACATTTTTTTACAAAGGTATATACAGATTTATCGTTCAGATTTAAGAAGTATGACATCTAGGTAGGAAACGTGAAGAGTGTACCCTGGTTTCTAGTATGTGATTTTGTCTAGAATGTGATTTTTCTTACTCATTTGTAGTTCTGGAGATTCAACTAGAGCCTCGTGCAAGGCAGATGCTTTTACCCCTGAGTTGCCTCCCCAGTGCAGACATAGATTTTAGAACCAATGTCTTCCATTGCTCTGAGAGGCTTATTAAACATGATTTATTAACCATTCACTTATTGTTATTCTCTAGATAGAAATACCATAATTCCAGCTGTGATCTAAACCAGGGTACGAATCACTGTTCACAGTAGGATTCCAAGAGTCAGAGCAGCCCAAGAGCAGTTCACACCTACCTCCACTTAGATCACCCACAGAGGCATCAAGAAGAAAGGAGGAAATCTTTCCTACAGCAATCTTAACACAACTGTCAAATCAAGTGCGACATTAATCTAGTCAAATAATACATCTAGGGGCTGGGAAGGTGGCTCAGTGGTAGAGTGCTTGCCTTGCATGCCTGAGGCCCTGGGTTCAATTCTTCAGCACCACATAAGCAAAAAGAAAAAAGCCGGAAGTGGTGCTGTGGCTCAAGTGGTAGAGCGCTTGCCTTGCATGCCTGAGGCCCTGGGTTCGATTCCTCAGCACCACATAAGCAAAAAGAAAAAAGCCGGAAGTGGTGCTGTGGCTCAAGTGGTAGAGCGCTAGCCTTGAGCTGAAGAGCTGAGGGACAGAGCCCAGGCCCAGGGTTCAGGCCCCACGACTGGACCTCCCCCCCCAAAAAAAAATCTAAACTATGACACTTAAATGATCCGCTTCACGTGTCTGATTTCCAGTAAGAATCCCATTTTTCCAAAATCAACAAAGACATTATTTTGTAGGTTATTCACTTAGGACTGCTGGCCGAATCCACCACAGGCATGCCAGGCTCTGCTGCTGGCACAGGACTTGGCGAGGAGTTGGAGAGGATCTGATTCACAAAGCTCAGGGGCTAGCGTGCAAAAAGACAGCCCAGAAACAAGTAGATTTGAGTGGTGACAGAACAAGATGGAAGGTGGGGCAGGCGGGAAGGGCTCACTTGAACTTGGATGTGCAGGGAAAGCTGCTCAGAGAGGCGAGGGTATGGAGACATCCAGAGGAAGAGCACTGCAAGTTCAGTAACAGTGGCAATAAAGGCCTCTCCGTTTATTGTCTTTGATGGATGATAGGAAGGCCGGGGGGGGGGGGGGGTGGGGGGGGGGGGGGGGGGCACATGAGGAAGTGAACATAGGAATTGGGATTGGGCAGTCAACCAGAGGCCGGATCAAGCAGGATCTGGAAGGTGGTGTTCAGAATTTAGGATTTCTTTCTAGAGGTAACCATAACTATAGAAGGTCTTGAGTCACAGACATGGTTACATTTATCTTCAAAGCCACGGAAGCAGACACTGAGCAGTAACAAGCCAGCTTGGAAGTGGATGGCAGCTGGGTTTAGAGTTGGACAAGGAAGATCCTGTTTTAAGATCAAATGTTACCAAATCATAAGGAGAAAGTGAGAACAGAGAATTGACCACTGGACAGTCGTGGAGAATTCACCGTGACCTTGACAGTGACCCTTTCAGTGAAGTGAAGGAACAAAAGCAGAGAGAAAGGGACATGGGAGAGGATGTCAAGAAAATACAAAACTCCTACAAGTCTCTAGGGTAAAGAGAACAGAGGCAGCGAAAGGCTGCAGGGTAGGGAGGGTCTTTGGGGTCTTGCGTGTTTATTTTTTAATATTAGAGCAATCACAGTGTGTGTACATTATGGGGAAGCAAAAGCGGCACGGAGAAATGAAGCCTAAAATCCCTGAAGACAAACGGAAGCCAGCACACGGAGGAAGAAAGGCAGGCAGGAAGGCAGGAAGGCAGGGAGGCAGGGAGGCAGGGAGGCAGGGAGGCAGGAAGGAAATAAGGAATGGAGGGAGGGAGGGAGGGAGGGAGGGAGGGATGAGTACAGCACAGGATTTGTAACAGAGTGAAAGCCAGTCAGGGTGAGAACCAGCCCCTGTGGTGGAAAGCTGAGCACACTTCTCATTTCTTTGGTTTCCTCAGCACCGTATCCCAGAAACCAGGAGCCGAGACACGGTTCGATGTTTCAAGAGAAAGAACACACTCTGAATTACTTTGTAGACCAGGGGAAAATATTTTTTTCTGGAACCTGGGGTTTGACTCAGGGGCTGGTACTTATTAGACAGGCACTCTGCCACCTGAGCCATGCCTGTTCCCTTTCTGCCCTAGCTACGTTGGGGGAGTGTGTCTCACATCTCATCCCCAGGCAAGCCTGGACCTCAATCCTCCTATTTATGATTCCCATAGAACTAGGATGACAAGTGGAGGCCACCATGCACCAACCACATAAGAAGCTGGGATTATGAGTCACCGTACTGACAAAATTATACTTTTAATATAGAAACAAGATAAAAAAATCACATGAAAGTCCTCTGTTTCCCATATAATAGGTTGGCACAAGATGAAGGCCTTTGCAATGATTGTATATAATTTGTGTGTGCGTATATATATATATATATATATATTTACAGACACACACACACTCACACACATACACACATATAGCCAACCACCTAAAGTTACTTGGTTCTAGGAGTACTGGCACTTTAAGCAATTCGTTATTTTGAACACTGATTTCATGTCCATTTTATGTATCCTTCTTGAACTTATGTTTTATTATCTTTGAGTAGTTATACAAAGTCGTTGTACAATGTCCACTTATGCCATTCATCTTCATCGATGTCACCGCTTTCATCCTCCTCCCTGGTCCCCTCCAACTCAACCTCTCCCTTCAATTTTCCTAGTTTGACAGGATATGCATGAATATCATGATTGCCTTCTTCCCCCTTCCCTGTCCATTCATCTCTCTCCTCCCCTTGACCTCCAACTGCCTGCCAGTTGCCTTTTCAGAAGCCAGATTCCACTGCAAATTTACTGTTTCTATATCTTTGGTTTGGTTTGGTTTTTGCCAGTCCTGGGGCTCGAACTCAGGGCCTGGGTGCTGTCCCTGAGCTTCTTCTGCTCAAGGCCAGTGCTCTACAACTTGAGCCACTGTAAATTTACTGTGCTCTTAAGAGCTAAAGGGTCATTTACCTTGTTCTTGATTTGGTCACATATAAAATGAATAATATCTTATTTTTAGAGCAATTATAGAATAAAAATTAGCATTCGTTATTATTTCATTGGGGGGGGGGTGCTGTGTGGCTTGGATTTGGGGACTGGACCATCATCCGAGTTTGCCATTTGGGGTTGGTGATCCATCCGTGGAGCCGTGATACTGTACGGCTCAATTTCTTCCATAGCAAAAGGTGGACATGATCATTCAAGAGTTGGGGGACACCAGCAGCGCGGTGCACCAAGCAGCGCGGTGGCCTGCGCCTGTAGAGCAGTGGCTTATGCCTACAGAGTGGAGGCCTGCGCTGTGGAGCAGTGGCTTGCGCCTATAGAGCTGTGGTCTGCACCGATAGAGCTGAGGCCTGTGCCTAAAGAGCAATCGCTTGCGCCTATAGCGCGGTGGCCTGCGCCCGTGGGCAATCGCTTGCGCCTATAGAGCGGAGGCCTGCGCCCGTGGGCAATCGCTTGCGCCTATAGAGCGGAGGCCTGCGCCCGTGGGCAATCGCTTGCGCCTATAGAGCGGAGGCCTGCGCCCGTGGGCAATCGCTTGCGCCTATAGAGCGGAGGCCTGCGCCCGTGGGCAATCGCTTGCGCCTATAGAGCGGAGGCCTGCGCCCGTGGGCAATCGCTTGCGCCTATAGAGCCGTCCGAGTCACCGTGGCGCAGCCGGCTGATCGAGGCCGCTCTCCGCTCTCCGCAGGCCTGGCGGACGCGGTGCTGGGCGTGCAGGACGCGGAGCTGGTCTTCAGGAGCAACGGGCACATCCGCCGGGAGCTCACCCGCCTCACGCTCGGCTTCCGGACCCGGGAGGCCCGCGTGCGGCTGCTGAGCGCGCGCGGGGAGGCGGACTCCCTGACCGTCCGCGTCCACGACTCGCGGCTGCTGGTGGAGCTGCGGAGCGGCGGCCCCGGCGGCCCCCCCGCGCGCCTGCGCAGCCCGCGCGCCGTGAGCGACGGCGCCTGGCACCGCGCCGTCCTCGCCATGCGCGCGCCCCGCGCCCGCGCCGCCGCCTGGCGCCTGGAGCTGGACGGCCGCGCCGCCGCCGCCGCGCACAGCCTCGCCCCCGCCGGCAACCTCAACTTCCTGCGGGACGGGGCGGACATCCACGTGGGCGACCGGCCGGCGCCCGGGCCGCGGAGGCCCCGGGGCTGCGTGGGCACGGTGGCCGTCGGGGGCCTGGCCCTGTCCTACGTCGCGGGCCTGCGCGGCTTCCCCCGCCCTCCCCAGGAGGAGCAGCTCCTCAGGGTGTCCCCCGCGGCGGTGGTGACGGGCTGCGCGCGCGGGGACCCCTGCCGGTCCGCCCCGTGCCTGCACGGCGGCCGCTGCAAGGACCGCCGCCTTCCACTGCGCCTGCGCGGCGGGCCGGGCCGGCGCGCGCTGCGAGCTCCGCGCCGACCTCGAGGACGCCGACGACGACGACGCATGCGCGTCCCAGCCGTGCGTCCGCGGCCGCTGCAAGCCGGGCTTCACCGGGGCCCACTGCGAGGCGGAGATCCGCGACGACGCCCGCTGCCCCGGAAACGCCACGGGGGAGCCGTGCAGGTGCGTGACGCCCAGCCCGGGGCGGGGGTGGGGGATGCGTGGTCCCTACGCGCCCGCCCGGGGCCAGGACGGCCTGGCTCAGCTCCCACTGCCACGGTGGGATTTGCCTTTCTGGAATGTTCCACACACAGCACCACGAGTTAGACTGCCGAGGGTCTCACAGTCCGCGGAAGGAGACAGGACTGAAATACACCTACAGCGAATCCAAAACCATCTCCCTCTGAACCCCGGATGGTTTGTAAAGTCCTGAAAAATCCACCTTGAAGTATACATTTGTCTTATAAAGCTGACATAATAGTGGTCAGAACGAGCACACCCACCCATCATCATCATCATCACCATCATCACCATCATCATCACCATCATCACCACAGAATGTAATTGCTAGGCCCAAACCAGCAGCCTGAAGGGATTGCGTTGGAACGATTTGGTTACTCTGCTTCTTTTCTACCCAGGACACGTGTGCATTATCAGATACAGACTAAACACTGAGGAAGTGTAAAGTAAATTTACCTCTGTCTGTGCTGTTGCTAACACAGAAGACCTACACCTCATGGTGGTAAATATGTCTCCTCTCACAAGAGCTAGTCAATTCTACCTTCAACAGAAAATATCGTAAGGACATGTCAGGCTTCAAAAAAAATGCCAACTAGCTTTGAGAAAGGTCAGGTAGCAGTGCAACTATGAGGCATGGTATACACGTTAGGTCCAATCAACAGCTTCCCGTTGCATTGGAAGGTACATGAGAGATGTTTAGGACTTCGAACTTTAGGATTTAGAACTTGACATTGAGAAATTAAGCAGGTACAAGTTGTGGAGAATCAGTTACTCAGTTGTGGAAGTTTACTTGCCCACAGGCACTGTGGGATGCTAAGGAGCTGGATCATGGCTTCTTCTTTCTCTTAATCAAGAAAGTTATCTGTTGCTTAACTCCATGGATGTGACATCTTAGTGGAACGTCGGCACTTAGCATCTTCACTGTACCTTGGCAGTGTAGGAGCTGTGCAATAATAGATCCTATGGAAGTATGTAGGGTTTCCTGTAGCTGTGTTTGCTAGGAGATGATGTCATTAAGGAACCCCTCTGAATGGGTGGAAGGTCTACATACTGAAAAGTCTCTAGGAGTTCTTGCCAAAGCCCTGGGATGCATTCCCTGTTAATATCATCCCTCTCACCTCTCCATCGTGACTCAGTTATTTAGCAAATTTAAAGCAGTGTAAGTGATTAAGAAAACAACAATGGCAAACATGAATCACCAGAGCCTATCCTTGCTTAGCTTTTAGTCATTTGTTTTGCCTTTTACAAGGATTTGCTAACTTGCACGACTTTGGTGTTCCACAAGCAAGCGCTGTGGGTGGCTTCACACTCAGTTCCGTTGAGCGCTGGGCGGTCAGTCAGTCCTCTCTCCCCTCCCGCCAGCACTTGCCTTGCCTTAGGCTCAGCACGCCATGAGTTACCGGGCAGGAGGGAGCCAGTGGTGGCAGGGCAAACAGAGTTCAGCACTGAGAGCTAGCAAAGAAGTCATGTGCTTGCCTGGGTACCACAGCGCCGTCCTGGCTTTCCTGGCCTTTGTTGAGATGCAATTTTCCTCTGGCCTTTCTTGATTTATTAGCAAAGCAGGAGCAAAGCCGGCTGCAGCAGGTTCCTTTCCAGCCTTAAATTTCCTGTCCCCTCAATGTCACAGATCGTTAGCTTCTGAGTGAACGCTTCGTACAGTAGAGAGAAGGTGGATAGTCAGGCAAGCCGCAGGACTTTCTAGAAGGAACTTTATGCTAGAGAAATGGTTGTTTGTATCATGCAGTGCATTTAGAGCTCCCATGGCCCTCATCTTAATTAGCTTAGCGTGGAGGCCATCCACGAACGTCTCAAGAAGGCTTCCTTGAATGAAATGAATAAGATAAACCACTGTGGTTATTCCTCTTATCTCTCTAGTCACAGCGGATTGCCCTCCACGGTCTGTGGGAACGAGAAAACAAATCTCACTTGCTATCATGGAGGGAGCTGCATCGAGTTTCAAGCAGAATTAAAATGTGTCTGCCAGCCGGGTTTTACTGGAGAATGGTGAGTCACATTAGAACTTTCTAGAAGAAACTTCTTGGCTAAAGAACAGTAGGGATTGCTCAAAGATCCCTCTTTCTTCCAATTTTCCATCTCAGTTCCTGTAGAAAAAAAATCGGTGCTGAAATATAGGTCCAGACCGAGTCAAGCAATAAACAAGAAGAAAAATTACACTGTAGGTCAAAGGACAAAACACATGACTAGCCAAGATTCCAAATAGGGAAATATGCTTTTCAGAAAAAATGTATAATACACTACCTTTCTCTCTTTGTGGGGTTCCCCCCCACACTAACTCTAATGCATGATATAACTGTGGCTGCTGTTGACATACATACAGGCACTCCTCAAACATTGCCTTAGAGAATTACCTACCACAAAGAAAGCACATTCACCCCACTGATGTGTTCTACAGATGAGCTCCAGTACTGTTCCTGTATGTGTGTTGTTTGCAGTTGGGTTCAAAATAAAGTAGCTAAAGGAAGGACTGGAATGGTTTCAACAGGCTCCCAAGGCTTGGAGAAATGAGGCTTTCCATAACATCGGAGGATACTGAAGACGTTTCTTCTAATACTGGGACTCGTGTCCTGTCTGGAGAGGCCGCCAGCTTCTCAGTGTCTTTCTGGAAGGCTGTGAATGATGGATTAGGCAAAGCACACCAGCCCACCCACGACAAGAAGTGCTTGGCCAGCTTCTTAGCCTTGTCAGGTTTTGCTCAGATCTAATCAGGGAAGACAGAGCCAAAAAAAAGAAAGAGAAAACAGAATGTCTCAGCTATGCTTGGTATCTGACGGGATAAGGAGTTGTTTTTCTTGGAAAAACTCTTTGTTTACCTTTCTACCTAAGCTTTGGTGCTACCTCGCTGAGCTCCTCTTTTATCCACCCCTGTTGCAGACGTTAAAGTTCCGCCTTTTTTGGTGGTAGAGGAAGTGACAAATTGTCTCCATGAGACATCAATGTGATAAACTGCTCCCTGGACATTTTTGGAGTTAAGCTTTTCTAGGAATTTCCTAAAGTAATACAGATGTCTCAGAACCTTTGCAGAGCAAACCGAGTGGCTGGTATCTCACTCCTGTAAGCCTCACTACTCAGGAGGCTGAGATCTGGATATCACAGTAGGCAAAGCCTGCGCTGGAAAATCTGTGAGATTTTCCAATTAACAGTGCCTCAGAGAATTACCCACCACAAAAAAAGCACATTCACCTCGCCTATATATTCTATGTCAAATGAGCAAAAATCTAGACATAGAGCTATGGCATGCGTGGCAAAACCCCAGGCTAGAATGAAAAGGCTGAGGGGGACACGAAGCCCCGAGTTCACCTCCCAGTGTTGGCACTGGTGTGCACACGCACACCCTCGCACACACGTGCACACAGAATCTATCAAGAGACTGGCTGGTGAATCACTTTTGATACGTATCCAATGATAAACAGTATTTCAAAATCTATAAGAAAGAAATAACAAGTGTTTGTGGAGATACATTTGTTTCCCTTGATTTAAATATCATGCCATATATACATGGTACCCTGTAAATATGAGTTAAATGAAAGCAGTATCTGTTTTGGAACAAAAATCAAAAGAAAAGCACGATTAATAGATGAGGACAGACAGGGTCTGGGGGAAGAGGGCAAGATGAAGTTGTTCCATCAGAAAACTTGGCTTTGCAAGTCCTTTTATCAGAACATTCAGAAATGACACTGAGTGACTAGAACACAGATCCATGAACAAGTGAGAACTAATAGCCTCCTTCTGCATACGTTGAAAGGTGACTTTAAAAGGTAAATGTCCCAGAAGGAGCCTTTTTTTTTTGAGTCTGTCTCTGTGTCCTCCGAGGGGCACAGTCTGTCTCTGTAGCCTCCTGCGGGCGGGGCCTGCAGCCTGGGCTGGCATCCTGCTGCCTGCCCTCCTGGTTGCTCTGTGCCCCTAATAAACTGAACGTTTACAAGGTGGCAAGCCCCTTAATGCTCTTAAGGGAGAAATTGGCTTATGCGTGACCCAGTTTCCAAATGTTGGCCGCTGTGTCCTCGTTCCAGCGGATCCATGTGTGCACACGCAGATCCTTCCCACTGAGCTGCACGTGTGCTGCAGGAATGGAAAGGAGTCATAGGAAGTCTGTGTACACAGTATGGAAATCGGCAGCCAGAGCCCTATGCTGAGGGAGCCGGGGCAGAGGAGGCCGCTGCGGCCGGTTGGTGCAGCGCCCTGGGTCTCTGATGCCTCTGGTTGTTTTCCAGGTGTGAAGAGGACATTGACGAGTGTGTCTCCAGGCCATGCCAGAACGGGGGACTGTGCCAGGACCTGAGGAACCGATTCCAGTGCGTGTGCGGCCTGGCCTTCGCCGGCCAGCGCTGCGAGCTAGACGTAAGCGGCCTGTCCTTCTATGTCTCCCTCTTACTCTGGCAAAACCTCTTCCAGCTCCTGTCTTACCTCATTCTGCGCATGAACGATGAGCCGGTGGTTGAGTGGGGGGAGCAGGAAGGTTATTGACCTTCTCACGTGTGAGCCACTGAAGTTTAAGAAATGCCTTGACTTGGTATGAGGTCTCGAAAAGAGAAAAGGAAGCAAAACCATCTTGAGTCGGGCACCGATAACACGCCTGTAATACCAGATACTCAGGAGGCTGAGATCTGTGGATCATAGTTCAAAGGGCAGAAATGGCTGAAAAGCCCATGAGACTCTTACCTACAGTTAACTAGGAAAAAGCTAGGGGTGTAACTAAAGCTCAAGTGTCATAGCACCAACCTTGAGCAAGAAGGCCAAGGGACAGTGTCCAAGCCCTGAGTTCAAGCCCTTGTTCTTGCACACATGCACGCATGTGCATGCACACGTGCATGCACAGACACACATATCTTGAAAATTAATTCAAAGCTAATTTGAAGCATAGCACAATACAGGTCTACATAAAGTATATTCCTATTCTAGTTTCAACAGTGCAAACAATTATTCTTGACAAAACCAGAAATATCTCATTATTGAGTTATTTAATACAAACATGGTGTTCTTAATAGTTCCATATCTGAGTGATTTCTATCCCAATTAAGAACTGTTCTGTCTTATGCATGATATAATTTGCTATCAGAAGGCACTCTCATTTCTTATGATCCTCTTTTCATTTATGATTTTCATTTTTTTGATTAGTAAGATGTGAAAACTTGGAAATTATATGAACTGCATATTTATGCATGGCTAAATGTAAAGCTATTTAAATGAACTACTGCCAGTTTTCTGATGTATGGCAAATACATAAAGAGGAAGCAGGGAATTACTCACCCAATATTATTGAAAGAGGATTATTGTGTATTGATATTTAAAATATACTTTTCTAGTATTATTGCCAATTTCAAATGATCTTCTGTTTTCCAGCAAAATCACAGGTAATACTTTATTTATTTTATGTTTTTGGCAAGATTTTCCCTTTTCCAAAAAAAAAAAAATGATTTATAATTGCTGATAAATGTAAGAGTTTGCTGACTTTTTTTTTTTTTTTTTTTGGTCGGTCGTGGGGCTTGAACTCTGGGCTTGGGCGCTGTCCCTGCACTCTTCAGTTCAAGGCAAGCACTCTACCGCTTGAACCACAGTGCCACATCCAGTTTATTGGAGATAAGAGATAAGATATTGGTTTATTGGAGATAAGAGTCTCATGGACTTTCCTGCCCAGGCTGGCTTTGAACCGTGATCCTCAGATCTCAGCCTCCTGAGTAGGATTACAGGTGTGAGCCACCGGCACTGACTTTTCTATCAGCTGTTCATTGGCATGCTATTATTATTTATGCTGAATATCTTTCTGTTGAGGTAGATTTCCAGAGGAGACATTTTTTTGTTACTGAAAGGGAAAATATTTTGATGCCATGAATTAATTCAGAGAATTACTAATGTGACAATGCAGAGGTGATTTTGTATATGTGTCTGCACCCTCATGAGTTACCCTGGTTTAAAAAGTATGAGGATAATGAAGACTTTGGAGGACATCCCATACTCATGAAGTCCCAATTGTTTTCAGAAAGTTCTTTTTCTGTGAAAATGACCAAGCTAAATGTAAAAATACCATTCAGAGCCAGGTGCTAGTGGCTCATGCCTATAATTCTAGCTACTCAGGAGGCTGAGGATCATGGTTCAAAGCCAGCCTGGGCAGGAAAGTCTGTGAAAATCTTCAAATAATTACAGAAAAAAAAAAAAACAAAACAGAAGTTGAGCTGTGGCAGAACAGCTAGAGCACTAGCCTTGAACAAAAATTAAAAAAAAAAAAAATTACTCAGGACAGGTCCCAGGCCCTGACTTGAAGCTCCAGGACTAGAAGAACAAAACAAAAGAAAACAAGCAGAAGGACAAAATAACAGACAATAAAAGCATAGAAAATAAATTGTATTTTATTTTGCGATAGCAATAGAAGATTTTAAGTAGCAAATCCATATCACATGGAGTATTGGCAGTTATTTCACTGGGAGCCACTAGTTTTGAAATCTTCCTTTATACCCAGCCTGCTCCCCTCATGTCAAAGGCTGAATGGACTGCTACAGGAGACTCAGAGACAACTTTCCCACCAATATTTGCATTCATTAAAATCTTCCATGAGGATTAAATAGACTATAGCCAAAGACTGTGTAAATAGTTTTCACATAATTATTCCCTTCTAGTTGTGTCTGTGATTATGTATTTATAGGCGCTTCCAAGATATATTAGGTTCCCTACCAAATCTATTTAGGAATAATCATGCACAATCCCTCTCTCTGTACAATTCTGTTTTCCTTATAATTGTTGGTTGCTTTTTCTATTTTCCAAATATCTTACTGTTCTGAGACTTGTTACTTTAAAAACATTGCTGTCTCTTTTCTCTTCCTTCTGTATTTTTGGCTGTGCTGTGTGTGACTGCGGTTTTTCACATTTGCACAAAAAGAATAAAAACTTTTTTGTTCTGCATCTTGTGTTTCTCATCCTCTCTGGGTGCCAGTCTGTGCTGGCCTCGTCTGTAACTCACTCATTAAGAAGCTCACAGGAGACAGCACCAGTGGCTCACGCCTGTAATCCTAGCTACTCAGGAGGCTGAGATCTGAGGATAGCAGTTCAAAGCCAGCCCGGGCAGGAATGTCTGTGAGATTCTTATCTCCAGTGAATCACTAGAATACTGGAAGTGGTGCTGTGGCTCAAGTGGTAGAAAACTTGCCTTGAGCTGAAGAGCTGAGGGACAGCGTCCAGGCCCAGAGTTCAAGCCTCACGATCAACACCAAAAAAAAAGGAGAAGCCCACAGGCAGGGATGAATTCCAAACATTGAACACAAGACCCTAGCCATGATCTCCTCAACTATCAGCTCTTCCTCCACAAATGTCAGCACAAATAAACACTGCAGAGAAATGTGATATCAGGGCCACATTTCCCTGTCCTTTTGCTTTCTGGCAAACACCTGTGCAGTTGGCACTCTAGAACTTATTGCAAGTCTAATTGTCTTTATTAGTAGTAGACATCATTCCTGGCAAGTGTAGCTTCTAAGGAAAAGTCATTTCACAAAACAATGAAGATTCACACATAGTACTTTGGACCATGTTTCTAGAACACAGCTTGTGTTTATTTGAATAATAAAAACACATTTTGTTTTCCTCATGTTTCAAATTTAATATCTGTACTAAAAAGGAATATGTTTTTTATTTTTGACCATCCTCTTCTGTGTGTATGGGAGGAGGGTTGTTTTGATTAGTATTCCTTTGGAAGAGAAAAAAAGTAGGATAAAATCATTTGGAGAAATTCGTGTTTTGGTAGCAAGGAGAGACAGCTGAGTTCAATTAACAGCATTAACAACGCAACAGGCCCTGTGGGGAGGGAATGGAAGTGTTCGCAGCTTCCTGTGGCAGAAGTCAAGGGGGCTGTCACAGAGGGGGCTCATCTGAGGCTGCGCGGGCCAGGGCTTGGCTCCCAGGCTCGCTGAGTTCACTGGTGGCATTGACTTCCTTGCAGTCCTAGGCCTGAGGGCTGTGGTCGCTGTGTGACTGTCCAGCCAAGGCAGCTGTCAGCAGCTGGAGGGAGCCCATGGCTTCTGAACACGACTACCCACGCCCTTCGCCAAAGAGAGATTCCAGCTAGACACTACTCCCGCACTATGGACCACAGCCCCGGGAAGATGCTCCGGCCATTACACGCATCCTTCCCTTGACCTTATTTGTGGGTTGGACAGTGGGGCCATCACACACAGGGGATACCTCGGAGGGCAAAACCCCAGCTGGCGGAGACCATGAGTTCCAGCTTACGCGCCTGCCACGTCTCTTCCACAGTCACTTGTTAAATTTTTTTGAGACAGGGTCTTAGGAGCACACTAGCCTTGCCTGGGACGCACTACCTAGTTTAGGCTGACCTTGAACTCAGCTCCTCCTGCCTCAGCCTCAGGAGTGCTGGCATCACCAAGCATACCACCGCACCAGTACCACAAGGCGCTCCTTCTCACGCCCTGTGCTGGATTCTGAGTATTTTCCTCAGCTCTACATTCTCTTCCATGAGATATCTTCAGGTCATCTACATCTCTCAGATGGATTTTCAAATTTCAAGTTATCTTTTAGATTTCTAGACATTTTTATCTTACAAATCTGCTTTCCCCCCCTTTGATCAATGTGAAGTCGCAGCTCTTTTTTTAAGAAATTAAGAACCCCGACATAACACCTGCAATCCTAGCCAGTCAGGAGATTGAAGGATTACAGTGTAAAGCCCAGCCCAAGACTCCCTTATCTCCAATTGGCAGCCTAAAAGCCACAATAGCTGTGGTTCAAGTGGTCGAACACCAGCCTTGAAAGAAAAAGCTAAGGGAGAATACCCTAGACCTTAGTTCAAACCCCAGTAATGACCACCCGCACCCAGAGAGAAACTATTTAACCATTTACTTGCACTTGTTCTAATACTTCAAACTCTTGAAGAATCTACTTCCTATTTTCATTTCTTGTGATTTCTTTCCCCTGCACAGCTCATCCTTTGCCTTCACACTCTGTCATCTTGATGAGTGGCTGGCACCTGCGGAGAACCTGTGTTCCCATGGGTGTCGTGGCGCTGTGTGTTGCGGAAATGTGCTGGCTAGTCTCCGCGTGGGTCTTGGGCTGGGCAGCTAGAGATCTACCTGTGTGGCCCCCATTTCTGCACAGCCCTTTAAGGAGCCTCGTAACACATAGATATCGATTTGCACGTCTGGTGTTGGTGAAGACCCTCCACAGTCAGCCCCCACACTGCCCCCACGCTCAGCGCTTTCCTCCCGGGTCATCACAGCATCCTCCCGAGAGGGGGACGGCTCACCTTCATTTGACCTTGTCACGTCACGGCTCTTTCCTCACACATCCGTCGCTCCTGCCCTTTGCCTGGCACATCCTCATGCCTCTGGAAATCCTTGGACCCATTCAGCTCTTCTAGCATCCTTTCTCTGCCTGTTCTAGAAAAAAGCCTCTCTATTTTATTCTTGAATTTCTTGTGTTGTGGTGGACATGTCCCGGTGCTGATCATTTTGTCATCTAAAGCTCTA